CCTTGGCGCCTTTTGGCGCCTAGCGCTTTTTAAATCACTGGATTTGATCTGTCTAAAAGGAAAATGAAACCAATCTAATTATATAAATTTCTATGACATAAATATAAGTTGAGCTAATCTAACATTGAGCATGTGATACTTGATCTATTTCATTAACTCTTCAATGAAAAGAGAATCTATCAGTTGCTGTGGTTCCAGCCTAGAACTATTTCCTTGAGCATGTGATACTTAATCTAACATCGAGCATGTGATATCTATCTCGTTATTTCCTTGACCTAGAACTATTTCTATGGACAAAGCAATCTGTCAAAGGCATTTCCCCTATTGTTGCTATTATTTCCAATTAACCCAAAAATATAGATTTTTTGTCAAAATCTAAATTGTCATCATAGTCATTTTTTATTCTTTATCACATAATTATCTGACAAAACATGAAGCATCTAAAAGAAAACAACACCAATGTGAATTGCATAAGCTTATATATTTTAAAGATGAGTTGAGCACATCTGACCTAGAGCATGTAGTTGTTGATCTGTTTTCGTTCTCTCTTTAATGAAAACAGCATATAAAAAATAATAACACATTGATCAACAAGCAATTTCAATTGCTCTAGTTCCATCCAATATTAAGCTAAAAATCTCAATTTAAAGTTTCTACAATAAGCTATAGAAATGGTGACTATTGCTAATCACCATCCTTAGATACAATTTTAATTATGGTTTTCTATGTTAACAACAAGGAAGAATGGTGGCTAACATAAAAACTAGAGGCTCTATGGCTATAAATTTTATCCAAAATTCTAACAATTTTTCTCATAGGACACTGAACCTAAAAGTTTATTAATATTCTAAACAGAAAATAAAAGGAACAGAGGATCTGCTCATCTTAGTTTGCGAAAAGGAAGACAAAAGAAGCTATTTTTGTAGGATCCTTTAATTAATAAGAGAGGTAAAATTTTTGAAAGGTAAAACTTTTTAAGGTTATTCTAAAGATATTGAGTTTCCTAAAAGATGAATGAATTGTCAACTTAAATATTATAACACCCCGGATTAATCTTACATCGGAAATGGGCAAGAATAAGATTAACTTATAAGGGTCTGATGGGTGTACTACTATCAACTTCGACTTAAACATTTCAACTAGTGGTTTTGGTTCAACAAGATTGATAGACCAATTAACACATCAAGCTCGATTCATGACAAATGATATTAGAACTAAACTAGTTTTGAGATATGAAGAAAGGCTCAGATATAAAAGAGCTAATCGTGGATGAAGTCAAAGGACTCGTCACTGTATGAAGCCACCACTGGACTATGACTCACATGCACCATATTAGAACTTGATCTGGGCTATGCTAGACCTTGACGAGAACGTTAAGCCCCTGAGTAGGGAAGATTATAACACTTTAGATTAATTTCACATCGAAAATAGATAAGATTAAGATTGACTTATAAGGGTCTGATCTTATTTATTTCAGTTACTCCCACACAAGTTGTGCAGCCCGAAGGTTATACAAAAATAAGTAAAACGAAGTGAGTTGAATGAAAGGGTTGGTGTGGCCACAGCAACTACTGGCCCTTCAAAGGGCTTAGATTCGGTTGTGCCCACATTATCTGTTTGATTTCCCTTATATATTATTAAAATATAAATTTAACAAAAAATTTAAATCACCACCACATGCACCTAGACAAAGATAACAAACAACAAAAAAACCATCCACGTCTTTTTTCACTTCTTGCCCCTCTTACATTTTTTCTCTTCTACTGTGGATCCAACAAAAGTGTTCCGATTCACTCTTCTATCGTGAACAAAGCTTCCATTGCATTTCTATCTGATTTGTGCATGTCGTTCTTGCACAGGGACGCCCTAATCTTCTTCCAATTCTATTGGATGTCTCCAATGGAACATTTTTGTCACAGTAATCCAATACGTTCACCACTAGAAGTAGTCTACAACCGTTCAAATGGCAACCCAACTCATCCCAGCGCCCTCCAACAAGGGAAATCCGTAACCTACAACGAGCATACAAAATCCACCAGCGGATGCTTCACACGAACAATACCAACCCTCGACGTGGCCCAACGTATCAAGATTAGAAGGTAGATGGACAGAACACAAGAAAAAGAAAAATGCATCAGATCTAAAGAAGAGATGGATGAGGGGACGGATCGAAGGAGATCAACAAGGGGGAATGAAATGGATGCGAACCTTGCCGTCGATGACGAGCCAGCAGTCATGGGCAGAGTTGTGGGCGGAGACCTCGGCCAAGGTGTAGACCTTCCTATCGCTCCCCATCTCTCCCTCTCCCTCTCTCTCCTCCCCCCTCACTGATCGCGATCTGAGACCAAAAGAGGAGAAGAACCAAGAAATTGAAATGGGGAGATTTGGGGGTTGGTGTTGAGGTGGCGCGCGCAATTCCCGTTTTATATTGCGATCAAAAATGGAAGGAAAAGCCGGGCCCACCCCACACCCAAATGAAATGTGGGCCCAACTACCTTTTTTTCCCTTGAGAAATAATAATAATAATAATTTCTTTATTTTTATTATATTAAATTGCATATAAGATCCTTCAGTTAGGTTTTAGCTCGTAATGATCTGATATTTATTCCATAATTATCTTATTTATGAAAGTATTTTAGGATTAAGTTTTATTTTCTAATATAAAAAAGCTTAGGTGACAATGATGTCTGATTTCAAAATCTTACTAATATCAATATCTTTACCAATTAATTTAATATATATATATATTGTTATTTTGATATTTATTTTTATTATTTATATTTTTTTTAAGAATAAATAGTGAAAACGATATTGGTTTTTATTATATAAAATTTATCAAAAAAATATTTTTGAACGCTTAATCTTTAATAAGTAAATATCCTTTTATCATTATTAGACTAAGTATAAAATCTCCAAACCCTAACCTTTCATATACAAAACTCTTTTATTTTATCAAGCAGATTTGCATTATGTCCATAAATATAAAACAATTGTGATAGGTTT